ATGCCCCACAGCCACGAGAGCGAGCTGCCCGATGCCCCACAGCCACGTGAGCGAGCTGCCCGATGCCCCACAGCCACGAGAGCTGCCCGATGCCCCACAGCCACGAGAGCGAGCAGGGATGGGACCAAATAACTCGCTTCCACCACAGCAGCTCCTCAGTACCGTCCCAGCCGCCTGCAGTCAGTGGCCAGACAGGGACCTCGAGGGTCCTGACAGACGGTGGTTCTTCACCACTTTTCCCAAAGACCCACAGACTTCCATCGAGTGGGTTGGCATTTTCAAGTGCGTCCCTCTGTTCTGTGCTGTGAGGCTGTGAGGTCCGCCATCGTGAGGGAGATGCCGGGTCACGGACAGCCCGCGTGACCTCCTACTTTGGGCCGTGTCTCTGGCACATGCAGAATTGGACGAGATCAGATCCTGGACCCGGAAGCGGTGTCCTGTACCCCACAGGCCGGTGGGCAATCCAGTCTCCACAGCGTGCCCCGCCTGCTCACTGCACACACCACAGGCTGGTGTGTGTGTGGCCCTGTGCCCGCCGCCCAAGGATGGGGAGGGGGCTCCGCGCCTGGCACTCCCTGGCCCTAAAACTCATGAGCTTGCTTTCCCTCCTGCCCTTCGGGATGTTGATGCCTTCGTCATAGGGTTAAGTGAGATTAAGTGGGCGGTACGGGCACGCAATCAATTGTTAAGGGAAGATGGCTCATGGCAAGGTAGTTAATGCCTGTCTTTCTAAGTGTCCTGGTCTGAGGGTCAGCAGCCCCATCTGCCGTGGCCACACAGGAGGGGTGGGGGCATGAGCCCACTGGGAACCACGGCAGGTGCCACGAGCACGTCCTACCTGCAGAGGAACGTGGGCCTGGCCCACATGTGAGCGGACCAAGTCTGTCCAGACTCACCCTCTCTCTTCCTCCATCACTGGCTCCCTGATGGTAACAGCATTTTGAAAAGTAGACATTTTTACTACAAAGCAAGTTGATAAGGGTCGTGTGCCTTTTCTTTATGGTGACATCGGTTGGGAGACATGTCTCTGAGGAGATTGGGTGGGAAGGTGGAGAAGAATGGACTGGCACGCCATGTCACAAAGTGGAGAAACTCTGACAAGGGGTCCGTGGCATTGCAGCTTTGGAAAATCCACTTCTAGTTTGATTTTTAACCTGAAACAAACAGAAGACTGTTTGTTGCCATTTTGTTTTTAAGGAGGTTTTTTTTTTCCTTTCGGAAGGATGTGATTCCAGAATAAAATGAATTATTTGAGGGACTCTGGAAAGGCCAGGCTTGCTAACCCCAGATCCAGTTAAGACAGGCTGCTTGTAAGGGAGGTGCTGGTGCCCCAGGGTCAGTCCAACCCCAGCGGCTACGTGCCCCGCAGAGCCCACTCCTCCCGGCCCTGGGTTGGCCACACACTCTCCGTCCCCACTCAGACCCGGGCCACGCAGGGTGCATCCCACAGGATGCCCGCCGTGTGAAGCTGGGGTCAGAAGGAGTGAGGACCGAGTCCTGCTTCCAGAGTCACAGCTTCAGGGCCCGAGGACCCGCCGGCCCTGATGGTGGCAGGAACCGTGGCTCCAGTCCCAGAGCAGGGAGAGGCTTGGCGAGTGCACCTGTCTCCCTCACCACCACGTGGGGGTCCGGCCCTGGGGTGGCCGAGAGGGGGGCTCCCTCCTTCCATCCTCCCCTCTCCCACACCCCCCAAAAGTTGGGGTATGCACCCCACGCAAAAGAGGGCAGTCCCGGCTTCTGAGGCCAGCCCAAAGGCCTGAAATGCAGTTTGGGTACAGAATGAGTTTGTTGGTGGCTGTGAAAGTCACATTGGCGCCCTCCACCTGCCTAGCTGGCCCAACACAGCGTTCCCTCCACCACCTGGCCCTGCTCTCTGATGGAACAAGGCAAATTGGACCCCACATTTGGAGCTATGTGGCCTCCATCCACCACGCTGCACATTTATTTAATGACAGCCGTGCTCAGGCCTTGCACTCGAACTCCATTTACCATCATCTCTGGCCTCGGGCAAGTGGCATAACCCACTGAGCCTTACCTGTAACCCCAACACGACAAGACTGGCAGTGTTGGGGGGGTGCCTGCAACCATCTAGGGGCAGTGCCCCCCAGACAGCAGGTGGACGGTGCATTAGCTCCTCTGCCCTCCACGTCCCTGAGCCTCGAGGGACTTGAGACCACACTTGTCCCCAGGATGCCGTCCCACACTGGGTGTGGTTTGGGACAAACTGGGTCTGCACTGGCTGCTTCACAGGAGGGAGAAGGCAGACGGAAGTGCAGAGGTTCAGCTCCCTGTGTGGACACGGGCTTGTGAAACCCCAAGGAAGAGGCAGATCTCAGGCCTGTTTGTCCTCATGTGGCTAGAACTGTTGGCAGGAGATGAGGATTGTGGGTTTTGTCTAGATTCTCCTGTGTAACCAGAATGAAAAGCACAATCTGAATTCAACGTAAAATCTAGAGTGAACTGTGTGCATGCTGCACATCTCTAGGGAGCCAGGACTGTGGGAGGTGGGTTGCCAGAAGCTTTCTCCTCTCCTACCCACGTGGGGACTTGGAGCTTCCTGCCGCCTGCCTTGTTCCTGCCGCCCTGGGGGCTTCCTGCTCAGTCTGACCCCATCCTCCTCTCTCCTCCCCAGACTACTGGTGCCTGGACGACCTGTACCGGGAGATGGTGAGGCGCTACGTGGAAGTCCTTGAGAAGCTTCCGGAACATTGGGCAGATCCAGCTACCCTGGAAGGCTGCTCGCAGCTGAAGCCGGATAACTACCTCCTCGCCTGGCACACGCCTTTCAACGAGAAGGGTCAGGGAATGCTTTCTTGCCCCCCGTAAAGTGCGTGCTGGACAGCGGCCTGGACACTAACCTGTGTCGTCCACTAACCAGCAGCACTGCAGGTTTGCACGGCAGAGAGGGACGGGCTGGGGCTCCTTTGGGCTTCAGCGTGCTGCCCAGCCACCCGCGCGACACCAACCCTGGGTTCATCTTAAGGAATACTTTTGACTAATTTCCCTTTAAGTTTGTATTTTGCCAAAGAGTCAGGAAAACATATACTAGCAACATAAAGATTTGTCTCCAGGATGCTCTGATGTGTTTAGAGGTGACATACTTTACATAGCCAAAGTGTCTGCCTCCATAGCACCTGCTCCTGGGTCCTAGACCTACCCCTCTAGGTTTATAGAGAACGAACTTGCCCCTTGGGGTCTCTACTGAGGATGGATCCCTGTCTGGATTTATACTGAGGATGGACCCCTCCTTGGGGTTTCTACTGAGGATGGACCCCCCTTGGGGTTTATACTGAGGATGGACCCCCCCTTGGGGTTTATACTGAGGATGGACCCCTGTCTGGGTTTATAC